CCTGGGACTCTGTTCTCCTTCTCAGTGGACATTCCCGGCTAGTATGCCCTGGCTTTTCACAAGTGTAACAGATGTACCTTCCCAGCTCATCCTTTAGTGGGGCTCTTCAGGATCCCGGTGCCCTTGGATACTTTGACATACTAATGGGATTTTTTTCTTTCAATAACTCAGTCATCACTTTTATCATCTCCTCCTGTTGGACCACCAGTCTTTGGACAGCCTCACTTAAACTTTCCAGTGTTAACTGTGTTTGGGTCAGGGCCTTTTCCCCAGCAGCTGCATTCACTAGGCCCCCCACTTTGTGTACGCGGATTAGGCTTGGCTGTCTCTGTCACAGGAACTTCCTCTTCTTCTGACCACATAGAATCATAGAATATCAGGGTTGGAAGGGAACTCAGGAGGTCATCTAGTCCAACCCCCTGCTCAAAAGCAGGACCAATCCCCAATTAAATCATCCCAGCCAGGGCTTTGTCAAGCCTGACCTTAAAAACTTCTAAGGAAGGAGATTCCACCACCCCCCTAGGCAACGCATTCCAGTGTTTCACCACCCTCCTAGTGAAAAAGTTTTTCCTAATATCCAACCTGAACCTCCCCCACTGCAACTTGAGACCATTACTCCTTGTCCTGTTCTCTTCTACCACCGAGAATAGTCTAGAACCATCCTCTCTGGAACCACCTCTCAGGTAGTTGAAAGTAGCTATCAAATCCCCCCTCATTCTTCTCTTCTGCAGACTAAACAATCCCAGTTCCCTCAGCCTCTCCTCATAAGTCATGTGTTCCAGACCCCTAATCATTTTTGTTGCCCTTCGCTGGACTCTTTCCAATTTATCCACATCCTTCTTGTAGTGTGGGGCCCAAAACTGGACACAGTACTCCAGATGAGGCCTCACCAATGTCGAATAGAGGGGGACGATCACGTCCCTCGATCTGCTCGCTATGGCCTTACTTATACATCCCAAAATGCCATTGGCCTTCTTGGCAACAAGGGCACACTGCTGACTCATATTCAGCTTCTCGTCCACTGTCACCCCTAGGTCCTTTTCCACAGAACTGCTGCCTAACATAATGGCAGCCTGCATGAGTTCATGAAACTTCTTACTGGGCTCTTCCTTAAACCTCCTTTTCATTTCATAGCAGAGGGAATCATCCTAAAGCCCAAGCACTAACTGCTTTTTCAGAACCATATCTGGGTCTGGAACTCATTGAGGGTCTCGCCGCTCCACTTTGCTCATTCTCTCCTGGAGGTCATATTCATATGCCCGGATAGTTTCATCGGGCTCCTGCTTTTGCTCAAAGAACTCCTTTAGTCAGGTTCCAATAGGTACCTTATCTCCATACAGTTCCAGGAGGAGTTCAAACACCTTTTCCACATCTTTCTTGTCTCCCATTGCCATGAACTTTACTGTGGCCTTGGCCTGGCCCTTGAGGTGCTCCTCTATGAAGTGATCTTCTTCAGGTACTCTTAGCACACGCAGACCCACCTTCACAGACTTGACCCACTCCTCTACCGTAATGTCTCCCAGTCTAGTCGGGAAGCCACCAAACTCCGTGACCTTCCGCTCCTGTGGGACATAAATAATACGGGGTTTCTTAGCTTCTGCTGCCTGTTGGTCTATTACCGCCTTAGCCAGTGATAAGGCTTCTCTCTGTTCTGTTCTAGCTTGTTGTAATGCCTCAGCTTGGTCTGACAATCTGCGCTGAAGTTCAGCAAACTGGGCCCGTAGTTCTTCAATTCCAGCCATGGTAGGGTTCTTGACCAGGCCTGGACAGTGCTACCAGAACTCAACCAGTAAACCAATGGGGTGGACCCTGTGGATAGGATCCTGTTCGTGACACCAATTATGTAAGCGGGGGAATAGTCCCGCTATTGTGGGGAACTTTCCTGGCTTCTGTACTACCCCGATGAAGTGGGCTAGCGAAAGGATCTGAGTCCTCGCTCCCACTTCCTTTACCCGGTGGCCTCCCTGCCCTTGAGGACTCCCCTTCCACTCTCCTGTCTGGAAGAGTCCTCGTAACCCCAACAAGGCTGGTTGGAGGGCTCGACCCCCAACCCTGCTGTGGTCACCTAGGACAGGGGCTAGGGTGTGCCCACTCTGGGGTACTCTCTCTGCACTGGGCACTTCTCTGACCCACTGACCATTACATACAAGTTAAAGCAAATGCAAGTTATTTAATCAACAATTAATTTGAAAAAGAATAAGGAAAAATGGGAAAGGTTAAAGGAAACATCAACCCGCTCTGTGGCAGGGAACATCACAAACAGTGTCTCTGGAATGTCAGGGCAGTTCACAGTCTGTTCCTTGTAAGTCCCAGGCCGCCTTCTCAGGCCCTGGCTTTGCTGCAGGGATGCTGTGGGTTGGACACTTGATCTGGTGGTGACCACACGCTCTCAGGCTCTAAGTGGTAGGACCCTTCTTCCCAGTGTCGCCCCCACCCTATCGGGGTTATGATCCAAGCCTGGCCTGCGGAGCCTCTTGGCTGAGGCGTCTCCCTGTGCTGGGCCCGCTGCCCAGGATCCCCCTTGGTCTCCCCAGCTGCTCACCGCACCCAGCTCCAAACTGCTCCAGCCCCAGCTCCACCACTCTGTCTCTGCACTACTGCTGCTGTTCTGCCTCCAGCTCCCTGGCCGGCTTCTTTGGCCCCTCTGGCTCTGGTTGCTGGAGCTCTGCTCCCAGGACAGGTCTGCTCTGCAGGCTGCTTCTGTGACTCTGCTCCCAGCACTGACCTGCTTCGTGGGCTGCTTTTCTGGCCCCTCTGGCTCTGGTTGCGGCAGCTCTGCTCCCAGGGCAAGTCTACCCTCTCTGGGCTGTGCCTCTGGCTTTGGGGCTGAAGCTCTGCTCCCAGGACAGGGTCTGCTCTCTCTGGGAGGCTTTTCTGGTCCCTCTGGATCTGGCACAGCTCTGCTCCCCAGCTTAGCTTGGGCCCCTGCTTTCTCCTTAGCTTGGCCCCACTCTGTCTGACCCAGAAAAATCCAGCTCACACGGAGGACGGGACCTCCCTGGCTTCCTGACTCCCTGATTAGCCTGCTCGCCAGGTCATTCAGGCTGACCTGGAGCATTGGCCTCTCCCCATTGTTCCTGGGGGCTGTCAGTCTCAGCCTCCTGATTCCCCATCGACCCTTCCCCTTTTTTAGTGTTGGGAGCTAGCAACTAAAACACCCCCACTGAATGTTAGTAAGGGGGCAACAGTCCCCTTACATATAGAAGTATTGTTTTTTATGTATACAGCAGGGTTACACAATCAGCAAAACACTGTCCACCTATCAAGAAAAAATGAATGACCGTGTCACCACTTCAGGCCTTGCATTATTTCCCAGTGATGTGTCTAGCAGACAAAAAAGTAAGAAGCAGGCTTGCTTTTCTGCAGAAGCTAAAAAAGAGAGGATTTATTTTGTTGCACTGGGGGAGTAAAATGAGGTCTCTTTCCTATGGCAAAGTCATTTTTTAGTTATTTTCTGCTAATAATCACCACATTTTTGTATTGCCAGCTTTGCTGAATTCTGTGTGCAACACACTAATTTTTATTAAATCTCTCAGTGTGAGGCCCCAGTACTGGAAATGTACAAGTGCTTAAATCTAACTTCTAATCAGTGGGACTACTGACATGCACAGTTCGTCAAGTATGCGTATACGTGCTCTCCTGACCAGGGCCTGAATGAGCTGGTAAGAGAGAGAACGCCTGCTTTGATGGAACAAATACTTCCAACTTCCAACAATTTACAACAAATCCAAAAGTAAAATGAGAGGAAAATATTGGCTATATAACCATTATCCCATAATACTGCTGCATATATACTGAATGATTATTATTTATTACAACAGAAACGTGCTATATCAGAAAGTAGGTGTGAAAACTGACACTAAGGTCTGTTCAATATTATTACTCAATATTTGTTAAGCTCTGGTAATATGCTGTCCAATACACAAAATATAGACAATCCCCATCCCAGAGATTGTATAGTCCAAAAGTTAAAGATCAGACTGCATATCTATCCTTAAAGCCACAATGCAAAGAACTCTGGGAAGAGTTTGGTTTTGCTTCTATGCTTCCCTGGTTCTCTTTACAGAAAAAAAATGTATATCTTATGTATAGATGTATAGAGATAGATAGATAGATAGATAGATAGATAGATGGGATGAGTAAGTGTACTGAGATATTTTAAATCTTATTTTCCTACATCACACAGTAACTTGTGAAAACGGATAGCCAGTAACATTGAAAAGAAAAGGAGGACTTGTGGCACCATAGAGACTAACAAATTTATTTGAGCATAAGCTTTCGTGACCTACAGCTCAATTCATCGCTATTAGAAAAAATAAGAGGTAAGTATCAATGGAAAATGGTGAAAATAAGACACTGCAGCAGGGGTCGGCAACCTATGGCGTGTGTGCCAAAGACAGCACACAAGCCAATTTTAATGGCAGGCTGCTGTCTGCCGGGAACAGCAGCGTGCCACTAAAAATCCTGCCCGGCCCGGCCCGCTCTTCTCCGCCCCCCGCCCTCTCCTTGCAGGGCAGGCAAGCTTCCCCCTCCCCCCGCCTCTTCCCTCAGCGTGCTGGGTTCCTGCCCCTCCTTCTCTGATCAGCTGACGGCCCTTGCTACAGAGGGGGAGAGGGAAAAGCGGAGCCGCAGCATGTTCACGCTCTCTGCTCCAGGGACCTTGGGGAAGGGGGTGGAATCGGCATATCCCCTCCAGCCCCCTGCCGTGAGCCGCTCACGGCAGGGGGCTGGGAGCACCCCCACGACCCAAGCCCACACCCCCAGCCCTCTGCCCTGACCCCTGAACCCCCCTCACACACCCCCAGCCCTCTGCCCTCACCCCTGAACCCCCCATACCCTCCAGCCCTCTGCCCTGACCCCTGCACCCCCCACAACCCCAGCCCTGACTCCGGCACCCCCCACAAATACCCAGCCCCCCCACACCCCATGCCCTGACTCTTGCACCCCCCACATCCCCATCCCCACCCTGCGCAGCAAATGGGAGCTCCTGCACCCCCCCCCCCACATTTCTACCTGCACCTCTCGCACCAAATGGGAGCTGCCCAGGTAATTGCGCCACACCCAAACCTCCTGCACCAACCCTGAGCCCCCTCCCTCATTCTAGCTCCTGGCCAGACCCTGCACCCCAACCCTCAGCCTGCTCCTTCACCCCCAGCCCTGTACTCAGCACACTCCCACCCTCATCTCAGTGCAGAGAGAGGAAGAGAATGGCTAGAACCAGGGAGAAGGTAAGTACCCACTCTATGTGGACAGGGCCAGGACCCCAGACCGGCAGTGGGGCTGAGCGGGGCCGGCAGCCGGGACCCTGGCTGGCAGGAGCCGGCGGACGGACCCCCGGACCAACAGCGGGCTGAGCGGCAGCGGGCTGAGCTGCTCAGCCCATAGCCAGTCTGGGGTCCCGGCCGCCGGCCCTGCTCAGCCCACTGCCAGTCTGGAGTTCTGGCTGCCAGCCCCTTGCCCACCGGGGTCCCGGCCGCAGGCCCCGCTCAGTGCGCTGCTGGCCTAGGTGAATGGAACCCAAGGCCAGCAGTGGGCTAAGCAGGCCGGCGGTGTAAGATCAGCATTTTAATTTAATTTTAAATGAAGCTTCTTAAACATTTTGAAAACCTTGTTTACATACAATAGTTCAGTTATATAATATATAGACTTATAGCGAGAGACCTTCTAAAAAACGTTAAAATGTATTATTGGCATGCGAAACCTTAAATTAAAGTGAATAAATGAAGACTTGGCACATCATTTCTAAAAGGTTGCCGACCCCTGCACTACAGCTTTGAGGGGAAGTCTCTTTACACTCCAATAACTTGTTTAAGAAGACCAGAGAAGTGTGAATCAGAGAAAAGGATCAAAGTTAAGTGTATTTCTACAGGGTGATCTGAGCTGAATAATAATAAAAAAAAGGCACATAAACACAGATCATAGAAACATAGAATCATAGAATATCAGGGTTGGAAGGGACCTCAGGAGGTCATCTAGTCTAACCCCCTGCTCAAAGCAGGACCAATCCCCAATTAAATCATCCCAGCCAGGGCTTTGTCAAGCCTGACCTTAAAAACTTCTAAGAAAGGAGATTCTACCACCTCCCTAGGTAACGCATTCCAGTGTTTCACCACCCTCTTAGTGAAAAAGTTTTTCCTAATATCCAACCTGAACCTCCCCCACTGCAACTTGAGACCATTACTCCTTGTCCTGTCCTCTTCTACCACCGAGAATAGTCTAGAACCATCCTCTCTGGAACCACCTCTCAGGTAGTTGAAAGCAGCTATCAAATCCCCCCTCATTCGTCTCTTCTGCAGACTAAACAATCCCAGTTCCCTCAGCCTCTCCTCATAAGTCATGTTCCAGACCCCTAATCATTTTTGTTGCCCTTCGCTGGACTCTCTCCAATTTATCCACATCCTTCTTGTAGTGTGGGGCCCAAAACTGGACACAGTACTCCAGATGAGGCCTCACCAATGTCGAATAGAGGGGGACGATCACGTCCTCGATCTGCTCGCTATGGCCTTACTTATACATCCCAAAATGCCATTGGCCTTCTTGGCAACAAGGGCACACTGCTGACTCATATCCAGCTTCTCGTCCACTGTCACCCCTAGGTCCTTTTCCGCAGAACTGCTGCCTAGCCGTTCGGTCCCTAGTCTCTAGCTGTGCATTGGGTTCTTCCGTCCTAAGTGCAGGACCCTGCACTTATCCTTATTGAACCTCATCAGATTTCTTTTGGCCCAATCCTCCAATTTGTCTACGTCCCTCTGTATCCTATCCCTGCCCTCCAGCGTATCTACCACTCCTCCCAGTTTAGTATCATCCACAAATTTGCTGAGAGTGCAATCCACACCATCCTCCAGATCATTTATCAAGATATTGAACAAAACCGGCCCCAGGACCAACCCCTGGGGCACTCCACTTGACACTGGCTGCCAACTAGACATGGAGCCATTGATCACTACCTGTTGAGCCCGACAATCTAGCCAACTTTCTACCCACCTTATAGTGCATTCATCCAGCCATACTTCTTTAACTTGCTGACAAGAATACTGTGGGAGACCGTGTCAAAAGCTTTGTTAAAGTCAAGAAACAATACATCCACTGCTTTCCCTTCATCCACAGAACCAGTAATCTCATCATAGAAAGCGATTAGATTAGTCAGGCATGACCTTCCCTTGGTGAATCCATGCTGACTGTTCCTGGTCACTTTCCTCTCATGTAAGTGCTTCAGGATTGATTCTTTGAGGACCTATTCCATGATTTTTCCGGGGACTGAGGTGAGGCTGACTGGCCTGTAGTTCCCAGGATCCTCCTTCTTCCCTTTTTTAAAGATTGGCACTACATTAGCCTTTTTCCAGTCATCTGGGACTTCCCCCGTACGTCACGAGTTTTCAAAGATAACGGCCAATGGCTCTGCAATCACAGCCACCAATTCCTTTTCTAAATAGTCTCTAACCACCTCTTTCTCCACAGAGGGCTGGCCATCTATTCCCCATGTTGTGATGCCCAGCACAGCAGTCTGGGAGCTGACCTTGTTAGTGAAGACAGAGGCAAAAAAAGCATTGAGTACATTAGCTTTTTCCACATCCTCTGTCACTAGGTTGCCTCCCTCATTCATTAAGGGGCCCACACTTTCCCTGGCTTTCTTGTTGTTGCCAACATACCTGAAGAAACCCTTCTTGTTACTCTTGACACCTCTTGCTAGCTGCAGCTCCAGGTGCGATTTGGCCCTCCTGATTTCATTCCTACAAGCCGGAGCAATATTTTTATACGCTTCCCTGGTCATATGTCCAACCTTCCACTTCTTGTAAGCTTCTTTTTTATGTTTAAGATCCGCTAGGATTTCACCGTTAAGCCAAGCTGGTCGCCTGCCATATTTACTATTCTTTCGACACATCGGGATGGTTTGTCCCTGTAACCTCAACAGGGATTCCCTGAAATACAGCCAGCTCTCCTGGACTCCTTTCCCCTTCATGTTAGTCCCCCAGGGGATCCTTCCCATCCATTCCCTGAGGGAGTTGAAGTATGCTTTCCTGAAGTCCAGGGTCTGTGTCCTGCTGCTTACCTTTCTTCCCTGTGTCAGGATCCTGAACTCAACCAACTCATGGTCACTGCCTCCCAGATTCCCATCCACTTTTGCTTCCCCCACTAATTCTTCCTCGTTTGTGAGCAGCAGGTCAAGAAAAGCTCCCCCCCTAGTTGGCTCCTCTAGCACTTGCACCAGGAAATTGTCCCCTACGCTTTCCAAAAACTTCCTGGATTGTCTATGCACCGCTGTATTGCTCTCCCAGCAGATATCAGGAAAATTAAAGTCACCCATGAGAACCAGGGCGTGCGATCTAGTAGCTTCTGCGAGTTGCCGGAAGAAAGCCTCATCCACCTCATCCCCCTGGTCCGGTGGTCTATAGCAGACTCCCACCACTACATCACTCTTGTTGCTCACACTTCTAAACTTAATCCAGAGACACTCAGGTTTTTCTGCAGTTTCGTACCGGAGCTCTGAGCAGTCATACTGCTCCCTTACATACAGTGCTACTCCCCCACCTTTTCTGCTCTGCCTGTCCTTCCTGAACAGTTTATAACCATCCATGACAGTACTCCAGTCATGTGAGTTATCCCACCAAGTCTCTGTTATTCCAATCACGTCATAATTCCTTGACATCACCAGGACCTCCAGTTCTCCCTGCTTGTTTCCAAGGCTTTGTGCATTCGTATATAAGCACTTGAGATAACCTGTTGATCGCCCCTCATTCTCAGTATGTACAACAGATTTTGTTGTAAATTAAGCAGTTCTTTATCTTCTTGAAGAAGGTGCCCACAAGACAGCTAGTAACGTGGTATTTCATCTTCAAATCAAGAGCAGCCATAGCCACAGACAAGAGGTTTTCAATGTTTAGCTATTTCACTCAATATTGTCTCAGGAAGGGTTTTTTTAAAACTAACCTGAATCTAGATACATTTCACAGTTTGTGTAGATTTAAAATTGACTTTCTATTAATAAATCAGGGTTCTCTACAGCAATTAGGCAGTCAGTGCCTAGTGTTAAATCCATGATCTTTATTTTACAGTGATATTTGCTTTAATACTAAAAATTAAACAGGATTTTTGGTGAGACACTTCAATATTCATGATCTTGGAGTTGCATTGTTATTGGGTTTAATTATCCTGTGCTTTTGCTCACTAGTTTTGATGAGGAACAAAGACTTATTTGCTTTCCTGCTCAGGGCTCATACTGGTGTTCAGGGCAGAATAATCATTCAGAGCTGTGGTAAGGATTGAAAGTTCAATCAAGTGATCAGTGGGAATATTGAAAACCATAAAACAGATTGTCCTTTCCTGTGGAGAAACCTTCAGAAGCGATCTCAGAGGAAAAAGACTTATGAAAATCTCTTCCTCCCCCGCAAGAGAGAGTCAAGGCACTGAGCCTGTCCCACAGCCTCACAGAAGAGGACACAGAACCTGACAGATTCCAAGGGATCCATGTGAGATCAAGATAATCTGCCTGGTCCCTCTGCACTAGGTTTGGCCCCCAGTGACCTCTTGGTCTCTGTCAATGAATCTACTTCAGAGTTTGAAGTAGTGAAGGCCTTTGAGAAAGGAGAACCCCACACTCAGTTGTCATGAGACTGCAGTCTGTTTTCAGTTCACACTTTTGATTCTCTTGTTGCAACTACTGCACTTGAAACCTTAAGAACAGATAGAACTTAGAGGAGGAAAATGTGCTAAAGAACTAATCCTGCTGCCCTTGATGTCAATGGTGCAGGACCACCCTCCACAAGACTTATTTTTCCCCCACCGCTGAACTAGCAGACCACGCCACCAGCTTTCAGTACCAGATTATGAACATATGCAAAGCAGAAACCAAAACAATTTGCCTTCTATTTCCCAATCTTACAAATTGTTGTATGTGTTCAGACACCCACTGAAGTCACAGAGGCATGAGCGCAGGTTGATACCCTTCATATGAAGCACCTAATGCAGAAACTATGTAGAGCACAAGAAGCAATGCTCTTAAACGGCAAATGAAATACCTCACAGGACAGAGTCTTGAGACATCTACAAGTTCTAAATTTGTCTAATTTCGATTAATTGCAAATCATCCTAAATCCAGAAATGTTGCAGTTGGTTTATGTACTTAAGTTTGGGGTATGCTTCCCATTTTTCTTCTTAAGTAACTTTCATGATCATTCAGGCAACTAGTGCAAAATGCTTTGACCTCCAGATCCCTTCCTCCTAGTCAAACTAAGTCTCAGATTTCTTTTACCATATCTACTATTTTTTCCCTCAAAGAAAGTTTAGCTCTTTCCTTAGTAATTCGTCCTTACTTCTAGCTCTTCCGCCCACAAGTCATTCAATAATTTGTTTGTGGTTTTTTTTTAAAGTCTGCTCTACTGAATCTATTCCTTTCTATCATAATCTATTTCAGAATGAGTTGGTTCACTTTAATTTGTAGACAGGCCCTTGAATGAATGCAGGTGGATAATTAACCACAGTTGGGAATTAGGGTTTGCACCTGGTTTTTCAAATGCATTAATTAGTGCTTGCATTCCTGAACATAGTGAGTTAATAAACAGAGGGTTGAAGTAGAAAGACCTGCATGTTGTGAGCTAACTGGTGATTGGGATCAGTGTTAGACTTGGACTGTGAAGTATTTAGATGTTTTCCCTAAGTAGGAGTGTACCTCTTCGTGAGCAGGGGCACAGAGTCAGAAGCAATCCATCACGTAGATACTAAAGGTAAAAAATATAATTGAGTGGGATTTATGCAGGACAAATTTGTATTTGACATTATTTGGCTATTTACACAAATGTACACAGGCTTTGTATATATTAGAAATATTTATATCCATTTATTTTATTACATGCTTTTCAGTGGTTTGGCTGTCATCTGGACACCTTCACCTTTTGCTGCATGGAGTCTGTTAGCAGATTGCTACTGAGGGAAATACTATGACTTATTTTAATGACAGGTTTCAGAGTAACAGCCGTGTTAGTCTGTATTCGCAAAAAGAAAAAGAGTACTTGTGGCACCTTAGAGACTAACCAATTTATTTGAGCATAAGCTGCTGTAGCTCACGAAAGTTTATGCTCAAATAAATTGGTTAGTCTCTAAGGTGCCACAAGTACTCCTTTTCTTTTTATTTTAATGAGTGAGACTTGATTATGTTCTTCTCTCTTGCCCTTCCAACATCAGGGTTTTTCCTGCCCAGGTCCTATTGGAGAGAAAAGGAAAAAACAAACAAACTGCAGAGATAATGGAAGAAGGAGGCACGTCTCAGGGCCCTGTTTCACCCCGGGGTGTTCGCTACTTCCCAACACGGATGTAATGAGGTTAAGTGGTGTCCGTATAAAATAAGTAAGAACTACTAACTATTCCTCAAGAAAGGCTTTTAATGATTTTTGACTATAATAACAGCATAAACAAAACAGAAAAAGGAATACCAAAGACCAGCACTGAATAAGAATTAATACAAAAGGCAGATTATATTGAAGAAAAATGCAAGTACATGTAATATTGTGGATCATTTGCGAGTTCCAGCTCTATATTCCTGGTGACAAACTATTTCAAAGGCACATAAAGCTGATGAACGACAGCGCTACATGCATCCACTCGGACTACTTAAAAGACAAGCACAAATACAAGTAAAGCTATTATGCATCAGCCACCTACTATTGATTTTATGCTACAGTATCAATACAACTATGATCAATTCGGCTCGAGCGACCAGACTTCTTTTACTCCATAGACTTACCCTGCATTTGTTTGAAAATACGTTACCCTTCAGTCATCCGCTTTCCGCACTGGCCAGGTACAGACAGTCGAGAAGTGCACGTCCCTTCAGTTCAGGGGGTGTGGGTACCGAAAACACACACACACACAGTCCCGTTCTTTTTATTTGATCTGATGGCCATGTTTTAGAACAGACCAACCAATCAGGGTGGGCCATATTGTTTATGTGGTTGCCCTAGCTGTATAATTGATGCCTATTTAATTTTTATGTCCAATTGTTAGTTGCTCGTATAATTGAGGTCTATTTATTTTCAGTAGCCAATTAGATCTTGAACGTGAGTAATTTGGGGTTGATAAGTACATAGGAGTCAGCATAAATTGTGATCTGGTTGCAGCGCTTCCCGATCATAAGCCACAAGCTTAAGCTTTGTTTTTGCAAGGCTTACATTTTAAAGTATACGGAAGTTTGAGGCCTAACATTTGCAATACTTCTATTTCGTTCAAGCTTGACAAGACAATTGCTCCATTTATTCACACCAACAAATCTTTACCTGCCCATTCTCTGGTCTGTTCCTTCCTAGCTATCACTCTGCACTTTCCTTCCCTCAAGGAGACTTTGATGGTAGTTGTTTTGAACCCTTTGAGTTCTTGAATCTGGTTATTTGAACAGATCACTTCTTCAGGCTATCAGAGATGTCTCTGGATTTCTTCTTTTCTTCTCCCTAGACCCACCAGCATGTTCATCCCAATACTTCTCAGCTAATCACAATGGGTAGCATCCCCAAAGGTACTTAAGCACTGACGTCCCACTTTTAGGTACCACTGTGATCCACAAAACTTCTGCCTGGCTGCCACTTATTCCTGTAGGCACTTAAACTTGCTCAGTTCCTAAGTTTTTTGCAGTAAAAGTTCCCTTGGTGCCTATGTTTCTTCATCTGGACATACAGATTCTTATCTCCCAACTAAGCTCCAGACTGGTTCATGAACCGGGGGAAGATGGGTTCTTGACTACCTAGATCATGTATGGGGCTCAATGTGGGAGGTGTACTCAGAGGGCCCCTAACTCCACACAGGACAGCCATCGTGGGGGAGGAAGAGTCCCCTTATCACCTTTAGCCTAGGAGATAAGGAACTCACCCAGGATGTGTGAGACCCCCCCACTTCAAGTCCCACCTTCCCCTTCCTCTCCCCCTCCCCCCTCCAGGAGAGAAGGGATTTGAACAGGAATCTGCCACTTGAGTGCCTTGACCACTAGTGTAGAGTTGTTTACACTCTCTTTGGCCTAATTATTATTTAATTATAGTGGAACAACTTCAGTCAGAACCCCACATCAGAACATTCCATAACCACAAGGCGCACACCTGAGAGGTGGCAGTTCCCTGTTCAAATCCCTTCTCCTCATCAGAAGACAGCGGACTTGAATCAGAGGTCTGCCAAAGCCCAGATGAGTGCCCTAACCACTAGGCTGAAGGCTTGGTCTCTTCCTTTCCCCTGACCCTTGGCTGTTTTGTGTGGCGTTATACAGGCCTTGTACATGTCTTAGATGGCTGAATGCCTGTCTTCCCCACAAGCAGAGATAGGTGCCTCCCTGCAGCCTGGGCTTAGGCACCAAACTCAGCTTAGTACACATGACTCTTGTCAGCATCTCCCATTGGCTTCTAGTTTAAGTAGCTCCAGGTGGCTGGCTTTATAGATCGCATTTTAAGGCACCTTTTTCTACCCATTCATTGTATAGGGGGACTACGTCTAATTCAGGCTTTGTGGATCAGGGTGTTGCTCCTGTGATTTTTCTAGGTGCAATGCCTCAATCCCTTTTGTGGATCCAGGCCTATGTCTTTATTTTCTCCTTCTCTTTGTGCATTAAAGCTAAGAGTTTTGATAAATCCCTGATTACTCTTGCAAGCAATAGCTGCAGCACTGTTTGCTTCTAACCCTTTTATGAAACATTCTCTTTAATCAGGTTTCAGAATAGCAGCCATGTTACTCTGTATTCGCAAAAAGAAAAGGAGTACTTGTGGCACCTTAGAGACTAATCAATTTATTTGAGCATAAATAGTGAAAGCTGTTAAGAAAGTTAAACAGTCCTATAACCAAGTGGCTGTGTTTGGCCAGCTTGTTGGGGAAAAGACCCAATCCTAGTTTGACCCCCTGGGGTTTTGGGGTGGCCAAAGGGCACGGGCCGCATAAACCTTCCCACATGCAGCCTGCGAGTGCTTATGCTCAAATAAATTGGTTAGTCTCTAAGGTGCCACAAGTACTCCTTTTCTCTTTAATCAGAGCAGCAGTAGCTAGTCTGTCTTCATTTTGCTCCTACCTCTATAACAAGGCTTAACTCAGGACTTCAATCTATCAATCCTAGAAGACAATTCGGGTTGCATAGCAAAGGGCCACTCCCTTACAAACATATGCATGGCAGCTAGGGTGACCAGATGTCCTGATTTCTATAGGGACAGTCCCAATATTTGGGGATTTTTCTTATATAGGCACCTATTACCTCTCAACCCCATCCCGATTTGTCACATTTGCTATCTGGTCACCCTAATGGCAGCTCTGGCTCCCTTTCTTACCAGTGATGCTCCCCAGTTACCATGGTAACTCCAGGGGCTGCCATACATCCAAACTGGGCCTGGACACTGCACATTGCTCCATGCAGTTGAGCCTCTTTGACCAGACAATACCACAATGAATACAACAGGACTCCACCTTGTCACAGAGGTCTGCATGGGTGGAGAAGCTTGCAGGATTAGGGCCCTGGGGGATTCATGGACCCCCTTGCCAGCACCGGGCTCAGATCCATGTATGCTTTCTGAATTCACCTGTGAAGAAGAGTACTTGGAACCTACTGTGGGATTTTCATTCCTAAAGACTAAAAGGACTCTGGATCAAGTTTAAGTGGTTTAAGGTTTTTTAAAAAAGCAAATACCAAATACATTCAAGACGCCCCAACTACTTGTTAAGATATCAGTAAATATAATTACAGGTTTCAGAGTAACAGCCGCGTTAGTCTGTATTCGCAAAAAGAAAAGGAGTACTTGTGGCACCTTAGAGACTAACCAATTTATTTGAACATGAGCTTTCGTGAGCTACAGCTGGATATGGCCCAACTTGATGATCACTTTAGATAAGCTATTACCAGCAGGACAGTGGGGTGGGAGGAGGTATTGTTTCATATTCTCTGTGTGTATATAAAGTCTGCTGCAGTTTCCATGATATGCATCCGATGAAGTGAGCTGTAGCTCACGAAAGCTCATGCTCAAATAAATTGGTTAGTCTCTAAGGTGCCACAAGTACTCCTTTTCTTTTTAGTAAATATAATTGACATACATACAGCAGAATAAAATTTTATGCCTGATACCTTAGTTATTATTAAGCAAAGTCCCATTAATTTCCACAAACAGACAAATAAGTGTACTAACTCAAGTTTGTTTGTTTTTAATACAATGCTTACTCTTTCATTCTTATCCCCAAATTATTCCCTGGTGTCCAAGTTTAACTTGTTTTGATTAACTGCTTCTGCGATTGCTGAAGTCAAAAAGATAAATTCAGTGAAAGAGAATATAGATCTTTGGCATTACATGAACCATATATTCAGTAAAAGATAATGCAAAAGAAACTATTTACTGTCTGAAATTTACTTATTAATCTTCAGTGATTGAATAAAAAGTGTATCTAAGCAGCTCAGATATGCTCATGAAGCTTTTTCTGTGAGAAAGCTGTACCATTCTTCAATGCTCCCATAGGATAGGTTCATGAAATTAACTACCACTTCGAGTGAATCTATTTTGGGAAGTGTAATGCTTCAAAGATAGACCTAATTTTGATAGCAGTGTAGCCAGTTAGGTGTTACAATTACACTTATGCGCTTGCACCCTGAAGCATAAAATCATCATATTGAAGGTGAAACTATTTATTACAGTTGGGGGAAAAATAGGCTCTTGATTATTAAAAGTTACTGGAATACATCATTACCGAAAGGGGAAAAAAGTGAGTTATCTCTGGTACATAAGCACTGCATTGTACTTTGGAAGTAATTTGAGCTATAGTTTTCAATAAAGCAACTTCAGTAAGACTCCAAACATGTAGTAGTGGCAGAATGATCTAGAGGATGGATCTGGGAACCCTGACTCCTGACCTCATTTATTTGTGAAAAGTGCCCTGAATCCACATCTCCAGCTGCTGAAACTTTTTGGCCTCTACATATGCCACTTAGTGGACAAACATGCAGGCTCCCCTCACAGCTGCTAAACCCTCTTTTATAGACACATCTTCCTCAGTGACGAGAACCTCTGTTTCAGGGGTTCTCAGCTTGGGGGTCTTTATGATCAAGGGTATGGGGAGGGAGAGATGGGTCAAGAAGAGATGTCAGGGGATCACAACCACCCTGCCTTTTCCATATTGTCAAGTGGGAAGGGGAATCCTAGGGTTTGTGGCATGGAAAAGCTTGAGAAATATTGCTCTTACCCAACCACCCAGTTGCCAAGATTTCCTGCACACCACCCTCAACCGGAAGCATCCAATCCCTTAATTTGCTTTGACTCTTAACACTGTTACTAAAAGTATTTGGGCTCCGTGCTTGTCAGTTTTCATCACCCTGCTTTATAGTATCTGATTCCACTGCAGCAAGGGTTTTATTTTATGTCAAGTCCACTCTTCTTAGCATATGTGCAATGTGCCTCAGGGGGCACATGACCAGGATTCACCACTGAATTTGGTCCACTGGTTGGATCATTAGCTTCCCTGGCCTGGGCCGGGTATTGGTGGGGATTGTGACGTGAATGCTGATCCATGCCCCCTGTCAAGACCAGTAAGGAGCTAGGTATTATTAGAAACATGTGGACTGAGCTTAGATCATAAACTTGGCAATTGAGTCAATATTTTACATTTGTTAGGATAACCAGATAGCAAGCTAAAGAGCCCAGCCCTTTCCTCCCCTTCAAAAATCTATTTTGTTCCATGGTAATTCTCTAAGGTAGATTGTTAGGACTGTGGTTTCAGCTTCTCCGGGTGTCGCCTGGACTGCTGTCTGTCTTGACTTATACGTGTCATTTATTTCTTCAAGATTCAAGGTTTTGTGTCATAGAATGGAACTGTATTTTGTATTGTGTCTTTCATGCATTCTGTGACCCAGAATACTTACAGAAATAAACAATGTAATTAAAGAGTTAAATAACAAACACAGAAGGAGAGAGGTTTTAGGAGGCATTTGGGGGAGGGGTAAGAAAAGAGGGATTTTTTCATATGGGATTTGAAAAGTGATGGAGAGTGGGTGAGATGGAGAGATTCAGAAAAACTTCTGTAGATAGCAAGAGCTCTAGAGAAGAGATCTCTTGATCCATCAGTGGTATGTGGACTGTGATAGATGATAGTGGTAGATGAATGGAGTGAGCAGGAGTACAGGGTTGGGGGAAGAATGACACCAGGGAGAAGGTGAATTAGGGCAAGTTCCTGGGATGGGTTTTTAAAAATGTCAGGCCATTTTATCAGCACGCATGGATATGGTTTCCTTGCTTGGTGCTTCACTGTGTTGTTGTGGAGAGTTGGCTTATCCCTTGCTATCCATCTGCTGTTTTGAAAAATCCTAGCCATATTAGCATATGACTTGGGAAATTCTTAATATTCAACATCCATCTAGCTTTATTTTATGTTTTGTTAATCTTACCCTAACAGAAACTTCCTATTCACACTTGAAGTAAACCAGCTGTCTGAGTTAGGCCCTGATTATGATACTTACCTCTTCAGTAGAGTGCTTTCAGCTCTAATAAAAAGCACTATATAAGAGCTAGGTATTAGTGTTACTGGAGGAGGTTTAACTTTAAGCAAGTGTTTTAAGTCTCACTGAAGTAAAACTGCATTAGGGGAGATAGAATCTGACAAGGGAGAGAATGAGGCACTCAAAATACAACTTCCATGAGGCACTGGGGCAGTATTTTCAAATAAAAATCTTTTTCTTTCAGTTTTTGGCCAAAATATTTTGGTGGTCAAATTTCTGCCAAAAATAGAAATTTGCCATGAAAAACATATATATTTCAACCAGTGCTGTTTTCAAAACTTAACAGCAGAGAAGTCAAAGCATCCCCCAAAGGCAGATCCAGGTCACCTAATCCTTCCCCACACAAACAGATTGTACGCTTGTTGCATTGAATCCTTGCTGAAGTTGTCAAGGAGTTGCATTCTGATGTGAGGGAGATTAGTGTTGTGTATTTCCTTATATATGGGAGTCTATCACTATCAGTAGAAATGTGCTATGTTGGACCTATGGAATAGTTAAGAAGAGTGCCTTAACTTGGTATTTCTTTTTAAGAGTTGTGGTGGGAGATACTACACTTAACCCTAATCCCTTTTAAATAAAGTTTCTGTTTATGAGTACAAGTTATTAGAAATTCCCAATCTTCTGGGGTGTAGTTAGTGATTCTGAGTGAGTTTAAAATGCCTTGAAAAGTGGTAAATCTTTCTCATAGCACCCGAACGACTAATCCATAACAACTGGTTTAAACAAAAACAAACAAAAAACAAAAATAAAAAATACTACTTTCCAGAAAACTTAAATTACCTACTCAAGACCATCCTTCCTCTGATGAGAGGAAACTTCCCTGGGAGCCCTCTGCCAAAAAATGGCTAGATGAGAAAGCTTGCTTAGATTAAATTGTGAATGTACTTCAGCAGGCCTGGATTTACTCTTTGTAATTGGGAGGCTCCTACTAACCAGAGGTGTGGGAGCAGGGCACTTGATAAAAATCTTCTGGACATGGACAGAATTTCATTATCAGATAGAAGATATTTTATGCCAACAAGAAATTGTGAAGTTTGAATATTCATTAGCTTGTCAACTTATTTGAGAATCTTTTGTTGAGGAGGAGTGAAGTAGGTGTCTTACTCATTCCCACAAGAAATGCCTTAAGCACTTAAGCTGCTTGACTCCAGGTGGTGGGTTCCAGTTCATGGATATGTAAGCAGAGATAAGCATCTACATCCAGACTGCAAGGAGGTGCCCATCTCTAAGAAAGGGATGGGGCTTAGAATGCATCCCCCTCATCGGCTTCTCCCATTGGCTAGCTTGAGCATCTCCCTGGCTACTGTGCTGACTTCTGTGGATCACATTCTAAGGTGCTTATCTCTCACCATTCAATTCCTAATTCAGCTTTGGGGATCAGTGTTGCTTCTGTCATTTTCTGAATGTCTAAAAGTTAGGTGCCACAAACTCAGCATTGCAAAAATCTAACTCTCTTCATGGTTCTGGGCCTCAGCTTCTCTGTGTCCCATTCCTCCCCATCTCTCGGCGTATGTACAGTTTGCCCAGCCATTTGATAGCATCCTCATCACACAGGTGAAGAGCCAGTAGCCCACTGTCAAAGTAAGTCAGCAGGCATTTGTCAAGGATATGTGACATAGTCTGAAGTTGACCACATCTACATCGCAGACCATTAGAGAAACCCCATTTGAAGAGATTGGCTGCACAATTGCCCTGTCCTATTTGAAACTGGTTCAGAGATGACCACAGGTGACTTGGCAGGTCAAAACCTGGTGGGCAGATGATTGGGTCATGATGAGAGTGATTAATGACAGTCCTTGCTGACCACCCTTTGTGCCAACAAGATTCCACCGTCGTGTCCTGTGGTGGCCTAAGTGACCATAAAGGGCATCTAGAAGACAAGCGAACTGGTGGGTGGTTGAAAAGTTTTGAGTACAGAGCAAGTTGCTGTTCTCATGGATCTTGGCCAGGATCATGAGGTAGCCCCCATCACGGCGAATATGGGGTGGTGGTATGTTACTAAATATCGGCATCCAGGGCAACAGACTTGCAGGTAAAATCCTGGTAACAATATATAGTTTTATTAAACTCTCCATTAACCATTCTCATGTGAAACGAGTGACAGGACAGGAGCACACTACTCTGCTATTGAATAGCAGAGAGCAAGGGCTGATATTCTAAGCGTCGGGCGTTCGCACCCTGGGTTGAGCTGGAACAACTTCCTCAGAAAACTGGCCAAGTGCTAACTTTGGCTGCTGTTTTCTTCATGTGGTTGCAGAATGTCAATGACCTGTCCAATGTCACACCGAAGTTAACCAGGTTTGGGTCATGTTGCCGGCATTGACCATTTAAGAAAATATTTAACTCTTGGCTTGTGTTTGCATTATGCAGATGAAATATGTTAGAAACCATATTGGAAAAGCTCAGCTACAGGTGCCAGCAACTACAGTAGTCTGCCATGAGCTTCATAACATCATTGAGGACCTCGCCGATTTCTGAGAAGGACTGAGCTTGACAGTTGCAGCAGATGTCATCAGCAAAGATAAACTTGTGTGAGAGTCTTGCTAGCAAGTTGTTGATGTACACATTGAACAGTATTGGTGAAAGAACTGAATCTTGAGGAAGACTGTTAATCTGACACTTCCAGGAACAAAACGGTCACCCGTGTGTACTCTGAACCACCTCTTTTGGAGAAAGAGCTCTACTACTTCAACTACCCAACACAGGGCAACTCAAGAGAGTTTACACAGAAGGCCTCTGTACCAGACTGTGTCATAAGCAGTAGTCAAATCCAGGAAGACAGCTCCCATCTTATGGTTTTCAACAAACATCTATTTTGATAAAAGTGGTCAAGGCCAAGACTTGATCACAGGTGCTACGTCCTTTCCTGAAACCTGACTGCTCAACCCTCTCTCAAATGGGGATAATAGCACTGCCCTTTCTTACAGGGGTGTTATGGGGATAAATACATTAAAATTTGTGAGGTGGTCAGACACTATGACCATGACTATACTAAGCGGACTATAGTGACATAACTACAGTGCCATAGCTATGCTGACATAATCCTCTTGTGCAGATGCAGCCTACAAAAGTGGGTTTTCCATTGCTGTAGGGACACCATTTCCCTGACTGATGGTAGCATTCTTTTGTTGCCCTACCTGCATCTACGTGTGGGATTAGGTCAGCATAGCTATGTTACACCGGGTGTGGATTTCACATTTTAGAGCATCGTAGCTTTGTCAACCTAATTTTTGTGTCGACAAAGCCTATTGTAATGGTGACCATATAAGTACCTTTTTAAATATGGTAATTAACCAGTTCTAGATGTTTTCAATAAACTTTGGAACTTGCTCCTGGACAACCATGACTACATTGATAGTTTTGGTCTCTTGCTGTAAAATGTACATAGGAACCTACTATTTATTTTTCACAAAATATAATAGAAAATCGTTTTTCCTATAAAATGTCTCCAAATACCTGATGATTGATAGCAATTTATAAAAGAACATTTTGTTCAAGTGGGAAATAAGCAACACAAAATAGTATTTTTGTGGCTTTAATTATTGATGAGGCTCATTGCCTTAACAACAGCATTGACAAGGAGAATGAGCAAAAACTTCACACTTGGGACATAGTCCTTCAATCCTTTCCCAAGTTAAAAAATAAATAAATAAAAAATCATGATTCACTGGTAGTTTTGCTGCATTGAACTGCAGGAATCAGTCCTTTATATGAACTTTAGCTCCCTCCCCAATTTTGGGCCCCAGATTAGCCTGTACCAGTGTTGCTACCTTTCCAACTTTGTTTCCAAAGATTTTTTTTTTTTAATAACAAAAGTCATTATGGCCCACATCCTCAAAGATATTTAGCTGCCTAACTCCCATACATTCATTTCAATGAGAGTTAGTTGCCTAAATACCTTTGAGGATCTGGGCCTTTGTGACTAGTTTCTGGATTTTGGTTGTATGAAAATAACCGAACAGGTTATATTGCCAGAAGAAGCTGTTATCCCTAATGGTATGTGGGGATGGGGAGGGTGGAGGATGTCTTACAGCAGGCATGGTGGCAGGCTATAAAATAAGTCTATGATTACTGCTAAGGAAATAAATCATAACAAATTTACCTGGTTAATTCAGCTACTTTTTCCATTTGTGGAATGTCTTCGTGACCAGATTGGGATTACTTTGAATGCATTTGTTATAAAACATGTTCTTGATGATTCTTTTACTTTATGGCCAGATTATGAAAAAAATCATTGTGATAATTAAAATGTGAGCATGTTGGTTAGTTGAATTGATCATATAAGTCATATAGTATTAGTTCTGTTCCCTTATTGGATGAGCATATTTTTATACCGAGGAGTAAGATTTGAAGAAGCTACTTGAATCTCTCAGGCAGAGGGAACAGTTTAAAGGGGAAAAGCAGATGAACAGAATTAGAGAATTTTAGAAAAAAATGGATTATGGACTATTTATTTTCAAGGACACTACTTGCTATGTACCTCAGAAAAACATATCATGGTGCCTGCCCCAAAGGGCTTGCCATCTAAGACTCTTGGGTGGTGGGGGTGGGATTCCATGCAGGGTTCAACTGAAGGCTGCCCAGGAGTTGGGTGGATGAGCAAGCAGGTAATCAGGTAGGTTTCAGACAAAAATCTGCTTGCTCTATCAGAGGCCTGTCTGGGTTCTGTTTGTTCGATTTCAGGGAAAGTCCATCTCTGCAAAACATTTGAGTTTCAACTAATCAGCAGTCTTCCACAGAAAACTGTTCCACTGGAGAATTTCCTACCAGTTCTCACAGTCAGTAACTCTCTCTCTCAGGGCTACTGCTCAGTGTGTGGAACTCCCACTAAATTAATTGGGAGTTTAGTGTAAAACCTAATAGCAGGATATAGTCTTTAAGTGTGAATCAAGTAGTAAGGCAACAAGCCACTCAGCAAGTTCTTGATTTTGCCACGTACTGAGCACTCTGGATCCAAGTTAATTTCAAGCATGTCATTACTAGTTTCACAGAGGTCAACAGGACTAATTACATACTAAAAATTAATGTAACCCTCCTACCGGGTTGCCAGTGGGAGCACAAGGGACAGGGTCCATCTATCTAATGATCCTTTCCTAAAATAAGTACTATAGCTGAAGCCCAACTCAGAGCCATAGACCTACTTGGTACTGGAAAATGAAAATAAAACCTGCCTGGTCACCTCCCTAGGTGGCCGGGGTTCTTTCCCCACTCCCAAGCACTCAGGAGTCCTTGGTTATGTCAAACCATGGTTACGTTTTACTTGAACAAAACAAGACCCTTTGACAGAGTTCCTGCTCCTGGGGTAGAGCTGCTGATCTCTAAGACCAAGCCCTTTTCCCTCTCCATGTTAAGCTTGAATCCCATTTCCAAGCCAAAGTCTACCACCTGTAAAATTCAGGGTGACCCTCTTACTCCAGGGGTTATCTTGTACAATCTCTGTGCCTTTTCATGAATACAATTACAGGGGAAAAAATCTATTATTTAAACAATCAGAACATTCCAATTTAAGCAACAAAAGACAATATACTGAACTATGGGTAAAGAACTTCAGAATTCATGTAAATGAGGATGACTTTTCCCATTTTTCCCCTATGGAGGTGCAGAGAGCTCTTTCCATCTCATGCATTTAAGTGCCTTGCTGTCTCAAAGACCGAGTGCTCAGCACCTTGCATGACTGGGCCCCAGGAATATGAACCCTTGCAACCAGAGCCAGATTTTTAACAGAGTGTATGCATGCAAAATTGTGTGTTCCTGAGCGGTGAGACTTTCAAAGCCACCTAGGGAGTTCAGGCTGCTAATTCCCATTATTTTCAATAATCTCATCTTTAGTTTATACTAGAAAATATTATAAATGTACATACAGATAGGTTATTTACATGCAAAAGAGACCAATTATGCACTTGACTTGTGTTTTTCACATATCAAATGTGTGCATAAATTAGGCACATTAAATTTTGCACATGTGCACATCTTAATACTTAATACTTAACATAGGGAACAGAAAATGTATTACGGACCTGGTATTCTAGCATTCCTTTCCCTTTTGGATGGTCAGTTGATCCATCCATCCATTGTCCCAGGCCCTACCTTCCTCTGTCAGTCTGTCCATCTCAACCCCTACTTTCTTCTCCCTAGAGATTTATTCATGCCTTCCTTATATTCAGCATGGAGTGGAATGAGCCACATCTGTTAAATCATAAGTAATTAACCTGCCTCTCTCTGCAGGGCTCCAAATCCTGCTATCAGGGCAAAGAAAGATTCCTGCCACTCTGTTACAGCCTGCTTATGAGATGTTCTGTCTGCTTTCAAGAAGAATATTGTTTACTTTCACTTCCCCAGGAAACACACCTGCTAGAATGTTAAAGTTTAACAACTGATGGACTGATGATATGCTCCTCTTCGTTCTTGAGGACTCATATATATACATTAGTAAATGCATTCGATTGTTAAGAAGCAAGGCAGAGTTATACAGTCCTGAAAGTAAACAGTCCTACTCTGTAAATCTATGAGGAATAAAATCTACAGCTCTTCCATTAATGAAATATTTGGAATGGCCAGTTTCCTAAGTAACTGCTGGGTGTGAAGGTAAGTAATAAATAGAGGACTTTTTTCAAATTCCTCTTTATCCATATGAATTTCATGTACTTAAACTTCCTCATGGAGATTCTCTTATCTCCTTGTGCTACAACTTTTATGACTCCACTAAAGCTTTCACCATTCTACATCCACAACATAGGACAAAGTTTGCTCTCATTTACACTATCATTTGGTGGGGTCACAGGGTTGCAAGGAGGTAATTGGGAGAAGGATTTTGCCCTATGAAGATGTAGCTCATGGTATGTCATCAAATATATTGTCAGAGCAGATGACTTTGTATTACCTGCAGTTATTGGCCAACAGACATACTGTGCTCACAGATGGGTTGATCATGGACAATGCATTTATAAGCACAGGAAATAAGTGACAATCAGAGCAGAGAACAGGGGAATCTGCTGTGGGGGCTGCTGTGCAGGCATCAAGTTACTTCTGCAAAATAGCAACTTATCTAGAAAACAACATGTTCACAAATATAACAGGAAGAAATTAAAGAATATCGTTTCTAAATGTTCACTACATATAGAACGTCATCCTGCAAATTTATCAAACTTAATATTGACAAAAAAGGCCAAGTAGAAAATAAATTTGATTTGGAGAAAGAATGGATCTGATCTCTTAAATTCTGTGAGCCTTACTCTCACCTACACTGGTGTAAAATCAATGTAATACCATTGACATACATAGATCTGCTCCTGTTTGTGTCTGTGAAGGAAGATGATTCTAATTTACTGGCAAAGGCCCACTTTTGGAAATCTATGCTCTTGGGCAGATCCTGGTACTTAGACTCCTGCTGTTTCCCAAGTTTTGTCTGGCATTCTCTTTCAGTGTGAACATCCCATCCCACCTTAATTTTAACTTAAAAACAATAGTTCTGAGAGAAAGATGTTTAAAAGGCAGTTCTGGAGGTTCTTTCCCTTATGACATTATTTTATGTTGTTCTTTATCAGAAAATATGTTCTATCCTTCCTAATTAAATATTAGTAACTTTTATTTTTTTCATGAATGATAAAGTAAAATTTTGAAGAGTTAGCTTTGTGCTAGGGGTAAGGGATAGTTCAGTGGTTTGAGCATTAGCCTGTTAAACCCAGGGTTGTGAGTTCAATCCTTGAGAGGGCCATTTAAGGATCTGGGGCAAGAATTGAGGATTGGTCCTGCTTTGAGCAGGGGCTTGGACTAGATGATCTCCTGAGGTCCCTTCCAACCCTGCTCTTCTATGATTCTAAAAGCCTATTTCCCACTACATACTTATTGAAGAATTATAAAAGGTAATAGAACACAATAGTCCAGAATGTTTAGATTCCTGGATTTGAAATGTAATAATACTTTTACACCAAGTTCCAATAAATTTACCTGAACTTTCCATTTCTCCCCTCCAACATTTCTTAAAAGTAATTCTTTGAAAGACTCTGGCTTTGTCTACTCTAGCACTTTTGTCGGTAAAACTTTTGTCCATCGGGGGTGTGAAAAACACACCCCTGCCCTGATCGACATCAGTTTCACTGACAAAAGTGCTGGTCTGGACAGTGGAGGAGCTCTCCTCCCGACACTGCTATTGTTGCTCATTGGGAGTGGTTTCATTATGCCAGCAGGAGAGCTCTTTTCTGCCGGCAAAGAACGGCTACACAGGAGACCTTACAGCAGCGGTAAGGTTCATAGTGTAGATCTAGGCTAACACTATACATGTCTTTAATGGAAATAATGGCAGACCACTGTAAAGGCACAAGAGGCACTGCTTTAGTAAAGAGACAAGATGGATGAGGTAATATCTTTTATTGGATCAACTTCTGTTGGTGAGAGAGACAAACTTTCAAGCGACACAAAGCTATTCCTCAGATCTGGGGAAAGTACTCAGAATAGCACAGCTAAATAGAAGATCAAACAGATAGTTTAGCATATGTAGTTAGCTGATATTTTAAGGGACCATTCAAGGTGAACTACCCCATTAACATCCCTGTAGTCATAGGACAAAAAGGGGGGTTAGTGGGTTACAGATGGCTGCAATAAGTCATAAATCCAGTGTTTTTATTAAGATCATGATTTTGAGTGTCTTAGCAATGGTATGAATTTAAGATTTAAGATGAATTTAAGGCAAGTGTTGTGCAGGTTTATTTTGAGGAAGAGGACTGATAGGTCAGATATACAGTGATCATTTTATGAAAGGTGCTCACCCAATGATGATGCGGTGTGTTTGTCTTTTATCATTTTCCTGTGTGAGTTCATTCAAGAGCATAGTGATTGTCTGGTTTTGCCCACTGTGACATTTCCCAGGATACAATCTGGACTGTTGAACAGCTCTGTTCCCTTAATTAGCTAGCCTGGGGTGCCGTTTACACTGCTTTGCTGTAAGAATATCCACTGTTGGCCTGTTCACACACAGCCTCTAGCATGTAAAAATCACTCCCAGCTATGTTACATGAATGCTTAGCCAGCCAGCCATGAATACAGGGTGACAGCAGCAGATTCTCAAGTGCAAGACTTTCCCCCAGAAGTGTTCATCTTGTATTGGCCAGAAA